GTTGTAACAACACTTGTTTATACTTTAAAACAAACACTGCCAACAAATTTTTCCTTTTGCTCGCCTTCCAACCCCCTCCCCCCCCCCCCCCCCCCCCGAGAATTGATTTCCCACTTGGAACCCACCGTTTGGATTAAAATTTTCAGGAATGATCGATCTTAGTGAGAAACGCTTGTGGTAAAAATTTCAGCCTGATATGCCTGACTAGATCCAACTTTCGGCTTGTTTTCCTATCTCCCAGGAGAATCAAAATAACTTCGTCATTAGAAGGGCTACAGAGCTCAGGCTGGTTTCAAATTGGAGCTAGCCTCTGTACGCAACTTTTTATGGGACGGAATTTTGAAACTTCGTTTCATTTATTTTTTATGAACATTTTTGTGAACATGGTTGCAAAATAAGCATAAAAAAATGTGACTTCATGATAGAAAATCCTACTTTTCACAGGCCTGGGATCGAGTATCAAAAATCCGTCCGATGAAAAGTTAGCTCTGATTAAGACCTTTAAAACAAAAGAAGAACATCGGTTATACTCCGAGTCAAGCAGGAGTTATTTGAATTGTCCTGTCTAGAAACTATGTTTTGAGAAAAACGATAAGTTTGGAAAACGAGGATGTGAATATAGATTGGGCGATCCTTCCAGGAAGGACACCCACATCCAGAAACCCCAACCACAGTACACCATCACCCTCAAACGCACACCCACACCCATTCGTTAATTACATTCGTTGTCATGTCAATTTTGCAACTTTCTGGGAGTTGCATCGATGATGGAATTGAGAAGAGTTCACGAGAATTTTCACTCGCAAAATCAATTTTCGCTACTCCACTATCATCCAACTGAAGAGTGATAGGATGGGTGTGGGCGACCCTTGCAAGAAGGACACCCAAACCCCAACCACACTGCACCCACACACACACACACCCACACCCATAAGATCTACCAGGATCTGATTCTTTGTCTTTTACACAGCGTGCACTGAAGTCATATTTCATTAATATAAATAGTAATAAATACAGATTTCAATGCATTGAACAAGTTCATTATGAAATCAATTAGTGAAAAATGATTCTGACAACAATTGTTTATGAAAAAATCTAAATTTTCAAACACATATCAGAAGTGAGAAGAAAACTCAATACATATTATAAATTTGCACATTCAGCTCTGTATCTTGCTCAGAAATGTTTTTCGGTTTTGTTTCTGAATCCTCGCAAAAAGAATGGAGAAATTTGTTAAACATAGATTCTCTAAACTTATATTTAGTCAGCTTAGCATGAGAATGTTATCATTAATTATTCAAATTAGTTCAAACTTTGCTAGAAGATACGTTTCTCTATGCATTAGTAACATCCATAATATCTAATAATTAGCATAGACGTTACTGATGCAATGTCCGATGTATGAAAAGTTTTGATTTATCATATAAAGTTGAGTGTTCACTTCGGAACATGTCAAATGAAGACCATAATGATATTTACATCAAACGAACTCCATCAAATCATATACATTACAAAAAGCTTTCAGAAAAATGTTTTTTGAAAAATAAAAAGGAAGAAAAAGTATTTTTGGAATATTTCTTGTCGTAAACTATTTTTATCGAAAATTTGTTTCTTCTCAAAGGTGGTTTTATAAATGATAAACGATAACTTTCAAACAAAAACAGTTTTATCGAGAAAGAAACTCATATAGCTGTTTGACAAGCAAAAAAGTAAACTATCAGGTGATATGAAACGTTTTTTTCATAGGATGTGGGTGTGATGTGTGAGTGTGGACGTGGGTGAGTATGGGTACGGGACGATAACACAAATGCCCACACCCACACCCAGTAGAAATCTTTCTGTATGTGGCAAGATTCATTTACCTTGAGAGTTTCAGAATATTTTATTGAGCTTTTGTCGAGAAACGTCTGAAAGGATGTGAAAGCGTATTCAACCATATCTATTTTCACTATAATAATAACGAGATTTTCGACGTTCCTATCGTCGATGAAACTTTGCATGGTCTCTTGGAGGTGACTTCGTATGTA